AAGCAAATTTATGGCACACAAAAAACTAAAGGGAAATTTTGACATTTTTAAAAAATTCTGTAAAAAAAGAAAAAATTTGGGAAAATTGTTGGGTTTGTTTTTTTAAAAAAAAAAGAGTTATTTTTTAAAAAAGCTTTTACAAAACTGTTTAGAATTAATTTCCCTTATCAGAGAAGATCTGAGATAAAAAAATTTTTAAACTAAAGAAAAAGAAAAAAGCTTTGGGCCAAAAATACTGTTTTTAGTCTTTTCCCAAAATGAGTGATTCCCAAAAAAATTTTAATTTTACTTATGATGTGAAATGAAGGGGAGGTAATGAAGTAAAATTGTTAAAATGTTAAAAAAAATAAAGTTTTAATGCCCCCAGTCCAAAAAAAAAATTTTTTAAAAAACCCATATTTTTTTAAAACAGCCCTTTTTTATCACAAAAATTTTAAAGTATAACAATTTTTTTTCTTTTTTTTAACAGTCTGGAAAAGGGTGGGAAATTTTGTGAGCAGTCAATTACTTACTCCAGAATAGACTTACACCGGAATTAAGGATATTTTGGTTTTTTCCTTGGGGTACAAACAAACTTCGAAACAGCTTCGAAAAACAGGCGCAGCAGGTTGGCTAAAATATTGCTGTGACCCGTTAGTGCACCGTGAAGCTATAATGGTAAAAGTTTGTTTGAACAAGGGGGGGGGGGTGGGGGGGGGTGGGCATTTGCTTCGAAAAACATATATTTGCCAAGTTCCAGATAATATCTATTAACATACACCCTTTAATCTATAATTTCTTTTAATCAGTATTTTGGCTCCTCACCAGTTGTATTAAAGTGACTCCATTGAGATTTATTGACAAGATGGGACTGGAAATATATTGTTTTATTGTTAATAAATGTATTGTTTATTGTTTTTATATAACATTTCATGTTGGTTCTAGCCAATAACTTGTGTTCAAAATTTCAGATCATTCTTTCTTATTAATTAGTCTTATGGTAAAAATTGTGATAAATGACCCAAAATTGTAAAGTCTTCAGTTAAATGCTTTTAACTGACAATCTGAGTTACGATCATAAAAGAAATGATTTTCAATTTAATTAGGACTATACCTCTTCATTACCTTTCCCATACCTTTCTGTATAAATGTCCTAAAAATAAGTACCTGTAGTGTTGCCCTTTGAAAAAAAATTTATGTTTACAGTTTTTAGACTTTTATGGTTGTGTTCTATTGAACCTCAGTGGAGTTCCTGTAAGGATATTAATTTAAAGAAAATGGGTCTTAAGCTAAACTTGTGACACAAAGATCCATCTATGGACCATGTGTTTTTCCAGTATTTTTAATTAAAAGCAGGCACCTTGTTCAGAACAGAATTAAAGCTGGAGGATTAGGATTATAGACTAGTGCAAAGCACTTTGTCAAGTTAGTGCAGTAATGGGTTAAGTCCTTTATTTTACAGGAGTTAACCAGTTATTGCACTAAGGTGACAACTTTAATAACATACCTTCAAGATTTCACCGATAATCTTAATGTATCAAATCTGTATACAATTAATACATTGATTTTGTATAAAATAGCTTTCAAAATCATCTTGGATTTAAAAAAAACAAGAGGGCCATGATGGCCCTGAGGTCGCTCACCTGTATATAGGCCCCCAACCCCCCCCCAACATTGCAGGGCCAATTTTAACCCAAGGGCTTTTATTTGCACAAACTCGGTAGACACACCCATAAGAAGATGTTTCATGCTAAACATCTAAGCTCTAGCTCATTGGGCTTTTTGAAAGAAGATTTTTTTTTTAAGTTTTTACTATACACATATAGTTTTAAAAAAAACAATGACACCCCTGGGGCCGGGCCAGTTTTGACCCCAGGGCTTTTATTTGAACAAACTTTGTAGACACTTACTAGAAGATGTTTCATGCTTAATATCTAAACTCTAGCTATTTGTTTTTTTTCAAAGAAGATTTTTAAGTTTTTGCTATACACATATAAAGAAAATCAATGACCCCTGGGGCGGGGCCAATTTTGACCCCAGGGCTTTTATTTGAACAAACTTTGTAGACACTCACTAAAAGATGTTTCATGCTTAATATCTTAACTCTAGCTATTTGAGTTTTTTCAAAGAAGATTTTTTAAGTTTTTGCTATACACATATAAGGAAAAACAATGACCCCCCGGGCGGTGCCAATTTTGACCCCAGGGCTTTTATTTGAACAAACTTGGTAGACACCTATTAGAACATGTTTGATGCTAAATATCTTAGCCATAGCTCTTTGAGTTCTTTAAAAGAAGATTTTTTAAGTTTTTACTATATGCATATAGGGAAAATCAATGATCCCCCGGGGCGGGGCCAATTTTGACCCCAGGGCTTTTATTTGAACAAACTTGGTAGACACTTATTAGAACATGTTTCATGCTAAATATCTTAGCTTTAACTCTTTTGGTTCTTTAAAAGAAGTTTTTAAGTTTTTACAGTGAGTATATGCATATAGGGAAAATCAATGACCCCCTGGGGTGGAGCCAATTTTGACCCCAGGGCTTTTATTTGAACAAACTTGGTAGACATTTATTAGAACATGTTTGATGCTCAATATCTTAGCCATAGCTCTTTGCGTTCTTTAAAAGAAGATTCTTTTTAAGTTTTTACTATAATGCATATAGGGAAAATCAATGATCCCCCGGGGCGGGGCCAATTTTGACCCCAGGGCTTTTATTTGAAGAAACTTGGCAGACACCCATTAGAACATGTTTCATGCTAAATATCTAAGCTCTAGCTCTTTTGGTTCTTTAAAAGAAGATTTATTAAGTTTTTACTATATGCATATAGGGAAAATCAATGACCCCCCGGGGCGGTGCCAATTTTGACCCCAGGGCTTTTATTTGAACAAACTTGGTAGACACCTATTAGAACATGTTTCATGCTAAAAATCTTAGCTCTAGCTCTTTGAGTTCTTTAAAAGAAGATTTTTTAAGTTTTTACTATATGCATATAGGGAAAATCAATGACCCCCCGGGGCGGGGCCAATTTTGACCGCAGGGCTTTTATTTGAACAAACTTGGTAGACACTTATTAGAACATGTTTCATGCTAAATATCTTAGCTTTAACTCTTTTGGTTCTTTAAAAGAAGATTTTTTAAGTTTTTACTATATGCATACAGGGAAAAATCAATGACCCCCCCTGAGGCGGGGCCAATTTTGACCCCAGGGCTTTTATTTGAACAAACTTGGTAGACACCTATTAGAACATGTTTGATGCTAAATATCTTAGCCATAGCTCTTTGAGTTCTTTAAAAGAAGATTTTTTAAGTTTTTACTATATGCATATAGGGAAAATCAATGACCCCCAGGGCGGGACCAATTTTGACCCCAGGGCTTTTATTTGAACAAACTTGGTAGACACCCATTACAACATGTTTCATGCTAAATATCTTAGCTGTAGCTCTTTTGGTTCTTTAAAAGAAGATTTTTTAAGTTTTTACTATATGTATATAGGGAAAATCAATGACCCCCGGGGCGGGGCCAATTTTGACCCCAGGGCTTTTATTTGAACAAACTTGGTAGACACTCACTAGAAGATGTTTCATGCCAAATATCTAATCTCTAGCTCTTATGGTTTTTTAAAAGAAGATATTTAAAGTTTTTTCTTTCGGTTGCCATGGCAACCAGAGTACTGCATGGAATCAAATTCTTTGAACAATTTTTAAAGGTGACTACCAAAGGAACATTCCTGTGAAGTTTGGATGAAATTGGCTTAGTGGTTTATGAGGAGATGTCATTTAAAGTAAAAGTTTACGGACGGACGACGGACGGACGGACGACGGACGGACGCCGGACGAAAAGCGATCACAAAAGCTCACCCTGTCACTTTGTGACAGGTGAGCTAAAAACACCCTCTTTTGCTATACTTTGTAGACAATATATTACAACTATACAAGGCTATTCTAAACAGTGTAAAAAAAACTGAGTATTGCCAAACATGCAGCTGGCCCCACATGGCTTACCTCATAGCAATCTGGTCAGTGAAATGAATTCTGTAAGGCAAAAATTATACAACAACGTTCTTATTGGCCTATAATTTACAAAACAACTGGACAATGTTGGCCACTTTAATGGTGAGGCAAAAATTATACAATAACGTTCTTATTGGCTGATAATTTGCAAACAACCAGACAATGTTGGCCACTTTAATGGTGAGGCAAAAATTATACAATAACGTTCTTATTGGCTGATAATTTGCAAACAACCAGACAATGTTGGCCACTTTAATGGTGAGGCAAAAATTACAAAATGTTCTGAAATCTTATTGGCCCATAATTTATAAACAACTGGACAATGTTGGCCCTTTTAGCAGTCATTCAACATTCCATAGTTCAATCCTAGTTATCAAAAGAGTATTAAAAGCTTGTTTATTACTCAGACCATAGTTATGGCAAAATGTTAATAACTTCATATCATACATTAATTTACTTACATGTCCATGCTTGAGAATAACAGAGTAACAATTACATATTGAACATAAGGAAATTAATTATTTCAGAATGGGTCTGTAATCAAGATGGTAATTATGACCCTATATAACAAAGACAATATACATGTTACTTTGTGCAATAATTTTAAAAATTGTCAAATGCTTTGTAAAGAATGAAATACAAAATATATAACAAAGATAGTAAAACTTTTCCTAGTCTTACCCATGTAAAGAAAGTTTTATGAGGAATGGATCTGTATTGCTTAATTTAAGGATATAAATATCTGATCTATAATTATAGTCCTGGCAACATTACCAGTAATGTGTAGCCTTTTCAATGACCATAACATGTTCATATTGTATGTTGCATTTACGTGTTTTAGCATAATATTCAACATGAAAAGTAGAAATGTAACAGGCAAAGTCGTCTAGTGGTTAAGGTGTCTGCCTCTCAACCCAGCAATCATGGGTTTGAGTCGTACTTGGGAAGTAATTTATGCCTCCTTGTAAGTAATCAGTACTGTTTTGTTCCAGGAAGTGAATAACTGTTAAAATAATCGTCAACTTATTACAACTGAGATAAAATAAATATGTTTAAAATAAATATATACAGATTTTTGTTATTCTGTTTAACATAAACCAAATTCATGTCATCAGAATAATATCACAGGGACTCAAAACAGTGTTGGGATAGTGTTAAAAGTGTTTTCTAGAAAAAAAAACTGAATATATAAAATATATGTTATATTTACAGTATATTATTTTTTTTCTAGAATTTCTTTTTACACTATCTCAACACCGTGCCTAAGTCCCTGTGATTAGACTTTAAGACTTTTTGTTGGGTAAAAATTATAATCATCAAAATGCAATAATAAAATATGAATATAACATTTACAGCCAAGATGAAAAGATTGGCCTGGTTTTAAACTCTATGACATTGTTGCCTACATGAAGTTGAGAGTTAAAATGAGCTGCGTCACGACAAAACCAACATAGTGGGTTTGCGACCAGGCAATCTGATCAGGATCCATGCTGTTCGCTATCAGTTTCTCTACTTGTAATAGGGTTTGTAAGCGAACAGCATGGATCCTGATCAGACTGCACGGATGTGAAGGCTGGTCTGGATCCATGCTGGTCGCAGACGCATTACGTTTGTTTTGTCATGATGCGGCTCAAATTATTATGTTCCTGGAAAAGAAAAAAATCTCTTACTTTCCGGCAGCATAAACTTCCGCTGTATCAAAGAAGTTGATGCCACTCTCATAGGCCAATGTGAGTAGCTCCTCTGCAGTCTGTAAAATAATAAACTAATTGTCATTCATAATGAAGTATAATTAACCCTTTCTCCTGCTAAATTTGGACAACAGACTTGTCTGGGTGTTAATATGGAGGTACCAACTGCTAAATGCAAGGGGTTTTGACATCAAATTAGTACAATGAAGCCCCCAATACAATGCAATAGAATAAAGTATAGTCAAACTGCGTGTTAATACTGTCTGGCCTTGCTCAGACAGTACTGCTGGCATAGGTATATCCGTGTTGCCATTATCATTCACTCTTGTGGCATATAACCGCACCCGTTCAAGTTCAAATTTCACCGCACCCGTCCAAGTTCAAATCTCACCACAGCCGTCCAAGTTCAAATCTCACCGCACCTGTCCAAGTTCAAATCTCACCGCACCGGTTCAAATTCAAATCTCACTGCACCCGTCCAAGTTCAAATCTCACCGCACCCGTCCAAGTTAAATCTCACCGCACCCGTCCAAGTTTAAATCTCACCGCACCTGTCCAAGTTTAAATCTCACCGCACCTGTCCAAGTTTAAATCTCACCGCACCCGTCCAAGTTCAAATCTCACCGCACCCGTCCAAGTTCAAATCTCACCTGCACCCGTTCAAGTTCAAATCTCACCGCACCGGTTCAAATTCAAATCTCACTGCACCCGTCCAAGTTCAAATCTCACCACACCCGTTCTCAAAGCACCCGTCCAAGTTCAAATCTCACCACACCCGTCAAAGTTCAAATCTCACCGCACCCGTTCAAGTTCAAATCTCACCGCACCCAACCAAGTTCAAATCTCACCGCACCCGTCCAAGTTCAAATCTCACCGCACCTGTTCAAGTTCAAATCTCACCGCACCCAACCAAGTTCAAATCTCAGCGCACCCGTCCAAGTTCAAATCTCACTGCAACTGTCCAAGTTCAAATCTCACCGCACCTGTTCAAGTTCAAATCTCACCGCACCCAACCAAGTTCAAATCTCACCGCACCCATCCAAGTTCAAATCTCACCGCACCCGTCCAAGTTCAAATCTCACCGCACCCGTCCAAGTTCAAATCTCACCGCACCCGTCCAAGTTCAAATCTCACCGCACCCGTCCAAGTTCAAATCTCACCGCACCCTTTCAAGTTCAAAACCCACTGCACCCGTCCAAGACCCGTCCAAGTTCAAATCTCACCGCACCCGTCCAAGTTCAAATCTCACCGCACCTGTCCAAGTTCAAATCTCACCGCACCTGTTCAAGTTCAAATCTCACCGCACCCAACCAAGTTCAAATCTCACCGCACCCATCCAAGTTCAAATCTCATATAGTGATATCACAACAATCTTTCAAATCTTGTTAGGTATTAAGCTGCATCAATCAATATATTATATGTTAAAATTTTACATACCAGGAACATATTAAAGACTATAAACCCTTTATTAACGACCTTAACCACTCGGCCACTTTTCTAACATATAATATTATCATAATAAAAGTTTGTCCTAAGGCACTCTTGCCTTTTTTGACAAATTAAACATTAACTTTATCTTTAGAATATTTTTGTCAATTGTAAGAGGGTGTTTACAACTGTATTATTATTTGAGAATATAACAACATGGTGGCTAGCATATATGAGCCGCGTCACAACAAAACCAACATAGTGCGTTTGCGACCAGCATGGATCCAGACCAGCCTGCGCATCCGCGCAGTCTGATCAGGATCCATGCTGTTCGCTATCAGTTTCTCTACTTGTAATAGGGTTTGTAAGCGAACAGCATGGATCCTAATCAGACTGCGTGGATGCGCAGGCAGTCTGGATCCATGCTGGTCGCAAACGCCTTATGTTGGTTTTGTCGTGATGCGGCTCATATGCACATTAGAGTTTATTATCATTACGACAGTGGAACAATCCAAACTCTCACCTCATCTGAAGTCTGTGCACCAAACGTTACCCAGGTACCTGTTAAAAAAATAAAAACTTGTTTCAACTTATTCCCATAAAAACAACAAAGAACACATTTTTATGTTAAAGGCAAAAACAAAACAGTCAATTTTGGAATCCAATAACCAATTTCGCAATTATTTACTTGATTTTAATACATTTTTATATGGACATACTTATTGAAACATAGATAATATAAATTTGTACATTTGTACAGCTTTGGTTACCTTGACAGCAATGTTAAATTCATTAATAGGTATAATTGGAAAGAAGGGAATGGAAAATTGATGAATTTTAATGTCAATGTATATAATTATGTAAAAACCTTTTCGTTTTCAGCATCAAGCCAGCACTTTCTTAAGTTATTCAATATTGAGACTTAAACAAATATTTTAACTGCTAGGGGATCTGGCAGTGAGTTTTATTTGCATTCAAATTTCTTGTAAACTCAATCTTATAAATGTATAATTAAATTAATTCAGACAAATGGTAAACTTGTATAAATTTACCAAATTTTACAAAGCTTTTCAAGCAGTTCAACTCAAATTTAAATCACATTTAACTAAAATGAATCTGGCATCGGTAGTTTTAATTATCTCAGTATTTGCCAATATCTCAAATCTTAATATGTATGAGCCGCGCCACAACAAAACCAACATAATGGGTTTGCAATCAGCATGGATCCAGACCAGCCTGGGCATCTGCGCAGTCTCAGATCAGAATCCATGCTGTTCGTTATCAGTTTCTTTACTTGTTATAGAGTATGTAAGCGAACAGCATGGATCCTGATCAGACTGCGCGAATGCGCAGGCTGATCTGGATCCATGCTGGTCGCAAACGCATAATATTGGTTTTGTCGTGACGCGGCTCATATCATGTACATGTACATTACCAATATTAACAGTTTTCTGTATGATAATTAATATTGGCTCTGTATCAATTAACAATGCTGATGTCTATCAATATTAACATGTATGAACAGCGGAATATTTGTTTGCTTTATTGATAAACACTGGAAACAAGTAACTTATCAATGCGGATTTTGAACAATGAAACTTGTCTAGCTGTTATGAAGTTAGACTTAATCTGGATCAAGGTAAATATCAGTGCAGGCCTTATTAACGATAAATCACAAATTTGAGAAATTGACCTAAATGAGCTGGGTCTGAGGTTAAAGAAAAGGGAAATTAATCTCTAATTTAAACTCAGCACTCAGTTATTTGATTGGTCAGAAACTGCCATATATAGAATATCCACTGACCAATGAAAATCCTGAAATTTGAGACAGATTGCATAAAGATGAGTAATATCCTAGACAATTTTAGCCAAACTTTACAAAATTGCCTAACTTTACAAAATTATTATGTCACCATGTGCTCTGGAATATACTGAATTGTTCATTTTAGACATCATTAAGGCCCTTTTTCACATTATAATATCCAGTTTGTTTTACAGAAAATAACTTGGTTTAATTAGGACTCTACTGAGCTTTTTTGACATTGCAGGATTGGAAATATTTTTGTGAGACTTGTGTACATTTTGATGCAAATTTTCAGATCGTCTGCTCAATAGACAGATTTTCCAGAATCATTATTTCAATTGTGGAAAATGATGAGAAAATGACAACATTCCCTTACGTGTTTTTTTTCCAGAATTATTATTTCAATTGTGGAAAATGATGAAAAATGGAAGCATTGAAATGCTTTTAAGTGACAAATCAGTCAATGAATAAGTGTTCCAAGGTGATCTAAGTTATAACGAAATTCAAATTTTATGTTTTTACGCTTTTGAAGCTCAGTGGGGTTCCTTTAATGAACATACTTATTGAAGACACCAATGTTGACAGAAAGTAGAAGAAAATGTTTGTATACCTAGTCCTACAACTGACACTCTTAGACCAGACTTTCCCAAATTCCTGAAAAATAAAAAATAAAAAAATTCATAAGATATTACAAATAATAAAACTAATTAAGATAATATACTAATAATTAAACCTGAAGATATAATTAAATCTTCTGAATGTGCTTACCTGTGCAACTGTCATAATTTTTGGGGATCTGATATATTATCATCAAAATTTCAAGGTAAATCAAACAGCTAGGGTATACACCTTCACTATTCAACTTGGACAGAATAAGAACCCTAATTTTATTTTGCTAATGTCTTGCTGTATAAAATTGGCAGAAAAGGACTCAGAAAAGGTTCAGCTTCTGTCCCTGCATTATGTTGTACATAATTATTGAGATTAGTATACAGTACTTAAACTAGAATTCCGCGAGTCAAATGTGTCGCCTTGTGAACAATATAGTTTAAGAGAAATGGCCAGGACAAAAATGAAATTTGAAAATCAACAAAGGGCAATAACTCAAAAAATAAGAAATGCAGAGTACCAGTTCTTGTGCACTGCACTTCTTCTTAATGAGATCTATCATCCTACGAAGTTTCAAGTCCATAGCTTTTTATACTTTAGAAGAAATGGCCTGGACAAAAATAAAGTATGAAAATTAACAAAGGGCAATAACTCAAAAAATAAGAAATGCAGAGTACCAGTTCTTGGGCACTGCAATTCTTCCTAAAGAGATCTATCATCCTATGAAGTTTTATGTCCATAGCTTTTATACTTTAGTAGAAATGGCCTGGACAAAAATAAAGTATGAAAATAAACAAAGGGCAATAACTCAAAAAATAAGAAGTGCAGAGTACCGGTTCTTGTGCACTGCACTTCGGGTCATTATAAGAAGCATGCATACCAAGTTTGAAGTCAATCCGATTTATAATGACTGACTTATGCTCCGGACAAGCTTTAGGGGACGCCGACGCCGACAACGACGACACTGCCGACAAAAGTAACCCCTATATGTCGCGACACAAAAACCTTCAAATATAGATATTTATATATCACTTTAGAGTACAGTGGACTAGTACTTTTTGACTACAAATCCAGGTCGCAAGTTTGATCCCATGATACTGTGACTAAAATTAGCAGTAAATTTTACAAAAGAGACTTAAAGGATAGCCTTATGACAGACGGACATAAGGACAGTGGTAAATCTATATGCCCCACTCACCGCCCCCACCACCTTGGCCCATTCTCTTTTTAAAAGCTACCCAGGGGTATGAGAACAGGTTCTGTGAAAGAATTTTTTACACCCTGCACATAAAAGAAATGGTTGCTTCTCCTGAAATGTAGTAACCATTGTATTGGCTGGCTCCGAAAATAAAATTACTAACACTCTTCTTGAGTATGTGGCTAACCCCTCATATAGGTTTCTTTGGCAACTATAAACAAATGTATGTTTCACAAGTGATGTACAAACTGACAAATGCATAACTTGACTTAAACCATTTGATACTGGTGGTATTAAATCTGTTATACTTAATTACATTGGTCAAAACATAAACCCTGTGCCAAAAAATCAAACTATTAAATTCAGGCTGACAGTAGATTTTAACATTCACCTTGTTGGATCAAACCAAACATGATTAGCCACCAGTATATATCCAGGCCCGAGCCTGCACATCTCAGATCAGTCTGGCCTGAGGCTCAATTATTATTATAACTGTTGGCAGACTTTAAAACTTCAATTTGAACTCTTGAATGACCTATAATGGGTAATGAACACTCAGTGCAACAAATGGATGTTTAGTCTGAGACATCTCTATTAAAGACAAAAATCAGCATGGAAATAGTTTTTGAGTTTAAAACGGTCTTTGTTATTTTATATTGTATTCTTCTATAAACTATAATCATTAACTAACAGGAAAGGGGGAGGGGGAGGAGGATGCACAATAAAATATCAACCAAGATCTTGATCTTTTATGACAGCGCATTTTTTCCATGACAAGGCAACACAACTCTTGATAAAATTTATTTTTACTGGAAAATTGATGAAAGCTATCTTAAATTTCTAAAGATTCTCTGTTCTCTAGAACTCACAGACTCTCTCCAAAGATTTATAGCATAACAATGCCCCTATTTAACTACACAACATGATATATAATGCAACAATCAATTCCAATTTTCTCCCCCCAAAAATCTTAACATCTTGAAACAGGCTACAATCAATATTATTTCTTACGAAATGATAACATTTTTCTGAACTTTGTGTCAAAACTGACATAACCGAATACCTGTATTTTCTAGTGAAATCGTTCAACATGATCAATAAAGTACAAACTTCACATAATTACCAAATAAAACTTAACTTATATGGTATAAAGAATAATTATATAAATACACACAATACCTGCATCTTATGGATGTCATTTTTTATCCCCTATCCTTAGAAATTTAGAATCTACACTGTCTCCTGTATTATATAAAACACTATATATGTAATGTCTGTAATTCCATTTGAAGTAGATATGTCTTAAAAATCTAAAATGGCTCGTTGTCCACGCCAGCTGTGAAAGGCAGTTCACGAATCAATAAATGAAGTTTTGCCAACTTTCTTTCACACATAAATAAGCAGAAAATCACAGCTTCAGTAAATATACAATGACTCTACAATGATTTACAACCAACAGCTTTTATATATGTATATAATTATATTAATATAATTATATAAAGAAATCAAACACATTTTGCCCACATTATAACTTATATTATAGCATCCATATCGAGGGTTGACCGCAAAACTGTTGTACGTCTTTCTTTATTTGAATATAAGTTACGTCAACCCTCGATATACAAAATTAGAAGACAAGCTAAAAATCCATAAAGCACTGTGTTAAACACTGGTTATATACTCATATATAGAATACATGGCAAGATATCCATATACTAACCAATGTAACTTCTCATTAATATTTATCCGTTTTACAAACCTCTATAAAATATCAGTACATCTATAAACTATGCATTATTCATAAACTATGATTATCCCAGACAGTTGTCAATTAGCATTTTGATTTGCCAAGCTTATTCTTCCTAACTAACAATATGTCTATAACATGCATTACTTGTAACTCAGATTGCAAAAAAAGATAGATAAAGAATACAAAAGGTAGTGTTTAACAGATTGGCATTTCAAAGCCATTTTTTTTTCTTCATTTTATTTATTCATATAAAATATATAAAGGTCAATTATTTTTGATTGCACGCAACAGTGATCAACCTTATAATTTGAACCTGCATGATTAAAGACCCTAATCATAAAAATAATCTTTCAGTGTAAAAAAATGCAAGCCTCCAGATTTTTTTTAAAGGCCCATTAAGGACCAGCAGAAATCCATCAATTTTTTTTTAATCAAAAAGCTTTTTAGTTATGTTTCCAAAAATTATAAAAATCATGTTTGCCCATTCTTAAGGAGGAAAGGAATATTTGTTTCTGAGGCATAATGTTCTTTTATTTTTTTATCAAACCTAAATAGGGGTAGAATGTTTGCGAAAAAACTTACAAATGTTCATATCATACTTTTTGCGAAAAAACTTATAAATGTTCATATAATAATTTTTGCGAAAAAACTTATAAATGTTCATATAATAATTTTTGCGATAAAACTTATAAATGTTCATATCATATTGTATATAATGATTCAAAGTTTTACCAGGATTTACATGGTAAAGAATACTGAGGATTAATTTTGAACAATGTCAATCTTAGTTTTTTTAAAGATTCATTTAGCTCATCATTCTGCAGGTGTTCCTCATAGGCCTCTATCTGAAAGTAACTTTAAAAACTGTAATCTTATCTAAATGTAGGAAATGAATACACCAAAGTATGTGAGATCTTCTATCATTAAAGCTGCGTGCATCCAGATAAGCCAAAATATTTTTAAGGGAATTCTTTAGAAAAATTTAATAAAATTTTAAGAAAAGTAAAAAAAAATTCCAGATTCAAGAAATAATTTACATGTTATGTGCCATAAATGACTAAATTTGCAGTCGTTATCCCCATTATCTACTGTGTACAGTAACTTATAACACAAAAAAGGTGCTTTTTTTAGCATATTTTGGCATCATTTTGGTACTTTACATGGATAATGTAAGTGCCGTTTGCAATGTGTGTATATTACTTATTTTTGTTCACTTTACAATGTTTTACTTTAAAATACATTTTCAAAATTAGAATGAATCTGGAGGCATACTGCTTTAAGTCAGACTTGGGTGTACAGAGCTCATGGATTATATTCATCAGAATCATCACCAGTCACATGTGCAATATGCTCCCAATAATTGATTAAACATTTTGACCCCATGTTTTGAAATTTCTTGTCTCTTGGACATATTAAGATTATAACAAAATATGAGCCGCGCCAAGACAAAACCAACATAATGTGTTTGCGACCAGCATGGATCCAGACCAGCCTGCGCATCCGCGCAGTCTGATCACGCTGTTCGCTTACAAACTCTATTACAAGTAGAAAAACTGATAGCTAACAGCATGGATCCAGATCAGACTGTGCGGATGCGCAGGCTGGTCTGGATCCATGCCGGTCGCAAACGCATTACGTTGGTTTTGTTGTGACGCGGCTCAATTATAAATTTCCACGGTCACCTGAATATCATTAAAGCAGAGTTTATACTGTAATTACCAACAGCTTTCAAGCCGGTAATGAACTATTTTTTCAAAAACCAAATTAACGTGTTATTCAATTAACCCCCAATGCTATATTGTTTATAAGTAACAATTGAACTCAATTATTGCAAACATCTTAACTAAACAAGCATATGTAACTAGAGACAGCTATTAAAACACATCTGCATTCCACATATCTCATAACTGTCTCAATTAAATATCTTGATTAACAGAATGCAATAAGAACAGCATCACTTTTTTTCCCTGATAATATCTTTCAAATTACTTTTACTAACTATATAATCATAGTATATTCAAAAACGCTGCCTCCTCATTCCTCCGCCAGATATTTATTACACTTTTACAGTTCTTTGAGCTTGGAAAAACAACTAAAAATAAATCCACCAGCAATGATTACCAGGTAAAAAAACAACATCAATATGAACTCCAGGTAAAAAAAAATATCAAAAACTTAAATATCACAATCACATCAGTACGCCAAAATCAACAAAAAACAAAACTAAAAAAAAAAAAAAAATCAGCACTCATAAATCCTTCACAAGGAATTTTTTTTTGCCCTATTTCTATATTAATTCAGACGAGATCAGACAATACCCATGCTGAGATGTCTGAGAGGGTAATGGTTTTCATGATGCCTTGTTACTAATTACAAAACACTTGCAATCAATGCATATTATACTCCCAGGTAACATTCTCATAACCTTCAATACATATCCACAAAATAATCATAACAATACAAACATTAGGTAGATCTGTAGTACAAATGTATTACTACTGTGAGTATAGGTGTATGATGATAATCAGGAACTCTCTGTTAAATTCTGTAGTAACTGTAAAGGTGTATCAAGATAATCAACAGCTTGGTAGATCTTTAGAATAGTCTTGTGTCATAGTTTGGTGACCTTTCTGTTGAAAATGTGTCAGAGTTAAATCGTATACATATACAGTAAAAACCCACTTTACGACCACCCCGTTTTCGAGACAAACCCGCTAATGAGAACGAATTTTTTAAGACCCAATTTTTTTATTCTTTATTTCATTGGTTGCCAACCCCGATTTTGAGACCACCCCGTTATTCCCTAATATGACCAGTAAATTCAGTCCCGTTTCGTACATTATGTACATTTGGAAACCCATAAATATGACCGCTGGCACTTTCTCACCTTGATATTGATATGCATTATGTATATTGCTGAAATCCTTTTGACACGTGATGTAAACAACAGTTGTCCTAGTTTTACGATATTTAACGACATCCAATTTATGGCAGAGGTCATGGTTAGTTTGTATCAAACCCGGAAATAATCAATACTTGCCGAATATTCTTAATTTCACACCTTTAATGTCATAATTGTAGGATTAAAATAACAAAATATTGAACAGAAAACTTTCGGTTAGTTTTTTAGAGGTGTTGTCGCTATCATTATTATAATCACTTTTGTTTCATAATTTTAAACAAACATAAATGTGATGCAATTATGTTTTTTGAAATTGTTATCGGCAATGAAAACTATGAAAATAATTAAAGGTTAATTGGTCTGTTTGTTTTGTAGTCAATTGGCGATTTTCATCAGTCTTTAATTGAGTAACTTGTGTCATTCTTTTAACTAGAATATAAAAATCAGTTTGTGTTTAAAGACATTCATATTTATTTTATGAAATAAAGTTTTAAAAACAAAGATTTACAGTGATTAACTGCGTTGGCCTGTTATAGGAAGGCGTACGTGTATAAGCTTCTACCCCCCCCCTCCTTCAATACTAGTTTTAATATTATAAATGTTATTTGCAATAAATAAAGCAATCAATAAATATAGTTATTAGGATTTTTTTTTTGTTCCCAATATAGAAGGCGTACGTGTATAAGCGTCTCCCCCCCCCCCCCCCTTTTTAATTTAAGTTTAAATTTCAAATACAGCTTTTTAATCTAAGTGTGGGATATAATCCCACCTTTTTCCGGCTTCAACTACTGCAATTATTTGCATATTTGGGGCAGGAAATATTGTACTCACTAGTCATATATGCAGATATTAACTAAATACAGTTTTTTCCCTATAATAAATGAAGCATATGCTCGCCCATATGGTTTTATACCGGTGGCAAGGGTAAATAAACCCAACACATAGACATTCATAATATATTTTGTATCTTTAGAGAAGTTTAAAAATTTCATAAAGTCTATTTGAGCTGCACTTTGAAATAATGAAAAGGAAACGTAAAGAACTTTGTCTTAAAGAAAAAATTGAGTTGATTAATGAAAGTGCAGGCCCCGCAAAAGCCAAAGGCAAGTTGCTGAAAAATATGGAATTGGAAAAATACAGGCATTATGTCTTCTCATTTGAAATAGGTTAACCCAGAAATAAAAATGCACAGTACATGTTATCCTTTAATGCATTGCCTGGTTTTCAGTTTGACCAAACTCATTAAAGAGACCAACCCGCTATTAAGACCAAATTTGCAAAGTCCCTCCAGTGGTCTCATTAGCGAGTTTTACTGTACATGCACAGTGCGTTAACTAGACTGCAGGTATTAGTTACTCGCACTCCAGAGCATGCCCATAGAGCTATACCAATAAAAGTTTGTTTTGGGGATTAGCATAGAAAAACCCACATTTATCGAGTTCCAGATAACATCTAATGATCTATTGCAGTCAGTTTATCATCATCGATCTGTAACCACTGATTTCCTAATCAATGGCCATGATTTTTTAACCATTATATTGGTTTTTTCAGTACAGTAATTCCTCTGATAATTCCACCCATTCCTCACTCAAACAATCTCCCAATATTAATTACCTTGTTTTATTCTTATATTGGTTTTTCTGCATTCTGTAGGAGCATGAATTTACACCAGCAGCTTACCTTTAAGTCTGCTGAAGAAAACTTTTGAACAGGTGCTGTATAGACATTGATATGTTGCACAATTAAAAGAAATTAAAAATACAAAAATAGAAAGATATGTTAAATCAATTAGACAGGAATGTTTAACAAACAAGTGGTTCAGATAAACAACAACTTGAATTATTCTGATAGAGAAACAACCATATTTTCAGTCAGTTTTCATAGATTTGTTATTATATGTTACATAAAAATTATATTCTATGGGAATTTCCTATAATTTTTCGGATAGAAATTTATTTCTGTACATGGTGTATACATGTACATTCAGGCATACAGTAGGTAAATTAGCCTTTAATACCTGAGTCCTGTCAATTATAGCCATGGCTCTGACCCAACCACTGTGAAATATTAGTGGGCTTTGTAAATTTTTCAATTCCATTGTGGAAATGGACTATTACGGTGACAAATTTAACACTTAAACTGGCTTGTTTTTTGTGTCTCCAATATGAGCCATGTCACGACAAAACCAACATAATGGGTTTGCGACCAGCATGGATCCAGACCAGCCTGCGCATCCGCGGATGCGCAGGCTGGTCTGGATCCATGCTGGTGGCAAAGCCATTATGTTGGTTTTGTCGTGACACATCTCATATATAGCCTAGTTCAAGTCTCCAAATTTACCCAAAAGGGTCGATCAACCCAGTGAACCATTCCCAATATAATCAGGTTTTTTTCTCTCTCAGTACTTTTGGGATTCTAGAATTGGGAATTTGTACAATGTTTTAGACAAAATTGGGAATTATAACTTACAGCAAGTTGTATACATCAAATAAGAAAATATTTGTTTAATTTAAATTCTTCCCATACTTAGCACACAATCACGCAAACTTACAACTTTATAATTGGCACACTTTGTGCAGTTAAATATAACAAAATGACAATAATTTTACTTATTTCATTTTTTGTTCTTTGAATTGGGAATTATCTGCTTGAAATTGGAAAAAAACAACAACACTTTTTGGCATTCAGGGAACATGACCAAGTATCGTTCATAAAATTGTGCCAGAAAAAAACCTGTTATGACAAAAAAAACAACAAAAAACAACAACAACACTGAAGTGATTTCGAAAAACGATGCCATGGTCTGCTATACATATTCAAGTGTATCCGTACATTATTCAGTACATTACAGAAACTACCATTAATTCTGAAAATGATGTGCCATACAACCATGCTATTAGCATACAAAACATGAATACAAATCCACTTACTTGTGATGCATTTTTGTAGCCATTGTCCCTTGCTATTGGTTGGAAATATATTGAACCAAACTGCCAACAATAATTCCTATTTGCTTTTGCCTGTAACAAAAACAAAGGTTAATATCATACAATGTACCGTAACCAAGAGTATATAATACATTGTCATGGATATACAAGTCACTGAACAAAGACATTCATTATGACTAGGAAAATTCATAACATACCTTGTTACACAAGATCTGAAATAATCCAAATATCACACCGTTTAATTACCGTCTCTAGAAGATCAGAGGCACAAATAACGGCACTAGTTAACCTATAATCTCTGATACAATGTATGTCATGTTTTACCTTAAGTTACAAAAAAATAAAATGCCATTCTAATAAAAAATATAACATTAATCTAAAATGTTCTCAAAAACAATGCATATAATAAGGGTAATAGTAACCCTACAGGGCCTTTTTACCCTTCTTTGCTGTAGCCTGTATCAGGCTACTTCCCCAAGCCAAGTGACTACCTTTTTTCCCCAAAAAACAGTCTAAAATTCCCCTTCTGCCAAATATTTCCCCTTTAACTGAAGAATAAAACTTGTAAACAAACTTTCTAGTTTAAAAATAGATAATTGTTTTGTCCAATGAAAGCTAATAATTCAATAACCCAATAGAGGGATACCTTGATTTAATACAATTGATGTTAACTCAGAGCCTCAGTCTGATTTTGTAACTTTATAAAAACAGCATGGGAAATCCCTGCTGCCTTATTTTTTAGTGCACATGTGATTTGTTACGACAATATGGCGACCAATAGGATGTCACTAATGTAATCAATGTCACAGAACAAGAAGGAAATACGATTGAGTGAAGTTTGTAATTGTTTATTAAAAATTGGATGAATTGATGACCTTGTTAGTGCAAGCCCATGTGTCCGAGTAGCACAACAAGCCCAACTGTTGGAAATTACTAAGCGAGCCTAGCACATCAGTGCCAGTAATACAGTGTAAACTGATAATAATGTACCCTCTGAATCAAACCAAGAACCCTAACATGACCAACGTAAAATACTATAAATAGGAAATATGAGTTAATATAAAGGGGCAATAAATTGATCTGTAAAAAATGTCTTTTACTCCTTTTGGACAGAAAGCTTAGTACAATAGTAAACCTTAAATGTGATTGGAGGAAGATATGCAAATAAATTATAATATTCCCCCGAAATGTGTGAAAATATGATATTTTCCCCAAAAGTGTGAAAATCGCGCATTTTTTCCCCACAAAAAGGGCTAGGGCGCCTTCCCCAAAACTAGTGAAAAGGCCCTGCCCTAATATTGTTACATAAAATGTCAAAGGAGATCATTGTTCTAGATACTAATGTACATGTACTGAGGGAAGGGCTTCCATTAGTGGAATCTAGTCCCTGATTTTGATTTGTGACTTCCAAGAGGTATGATGCTTTACCTTCTTAACCTATATAATGTGCCTTCGTTCCAATGTCATTTACACTATCTGACTTCAATATTTTGAAACTTAATGGAACCCCTGCAAGCTGGGCTGCGAGTGGCAACAGTAGGACACTGTATAAGCTAGGTTCGAGTCCTAAAGCTGTTAGAGACACACTGCTTACGTTAATTTCCTTTCAGAGAAAGTTCAAAGAAATTAAATCTTCATTTGTTTTGCTTCATCAAAGTGTGAATGAATATCTGTGTGAACAATAGTGTGCATTAAGTCATATCAATGCAAAAATTTTTTGTATAATAATTGAAGGACCCCCTGTTTTGGAAAATAAAGTCTTCAAAAAAAATATCAGTATCCACCAGCCTAGCTCCCTCAGTACACATCATAAGACATAGTATTATGAATTTTCTACCTTTTCTAAAACATAAAATGTATGTAAATCATCAGTGATTTTTCTCACTTTTGATTTTGGGAAAAATTATCGCTAAAATTGCTAATTTGGAAAGTAAAAAAACAGGTTTAAGTTCAGATATTTTTGGAAAACTGCATGATTTTAAATAAAATTTCAATTGGGAAGAAGCCTTTTATTGGAGTCTGTGTAATATAAGCTGGAAAATCACTGGAATATCATTTACATTCACTTCTGGCTGTTCTGGGTTATTTGAATTACAGGTGTAACATCTCAGAAATAAATATTTCTTCAACTTTCAAGGTCACTTGATAAACAGATACATAATGTATAAATAGCTGGAAGAGATTGAGTCTGTTTTGACTCTTTCTAAGTTTGGAATAGTTATTTATAGCTAACAGCCTAACTACTGTATGATGAACAATAATGCTACTTTTGAACTAAGAATTTATCATTGTCTTGCATTTTTAATGAATTACACATATGTAATAACTTGACGGGCGCTTTACATTACAGGGCATCACTAATAAAGAAGCTCCACTGCGGTCCTAAAGCATAAAAACATAAAAATCTGAAAAGCTTATGTAGATCAACAGAAACACTTTAACAGGAAAATAATATATTTTAAAAGAGTTTAAGTGACATTATGTCCATTCCTACTTCCAGGGGTATGGGTAGATCATGTTCCCAAAATCCTGGAGCAAGAATCCTGGCATGGGTTCAAATGCTGTCAGGGGCAAGCCATTGTTTTCATGAAAAAGAAACAGTACACTCATTGCTTAGTAGAACTGGTTGGTTCTAAACTGGTTGGTTCTAGAAATGGATTAGAGAGTGTTTCAATTAGCTTTTAGCTTCCAACACAATCAAACTTAAAAGAACAAGAGCACCGCTAGGCGGAGCATTATATGCCCGAAAGTGTTTTGTTTTTTTTAGTAAAGATGAAGCATTTGTAAGACATGGGACTAAAATAAAGTATTACCTCCTTCAAATAACAATCCTCCTTTGAAGTTTCAAAATTGTGGTCCAAATGGAACTTTAAGTTATGTCCCAGAAACTGTTTTCAATTCTAAGGTAAAAGTGACCTTGACCTTTGACCTTGTGACCCCAAAATCATTAGGGGTCTTTTATCCAATATGGACAATCATACTATGAAGTTTTTGAATATTGTGGGCTAAATGGAACTAAAGTTATGCTCAAGAAACCGTTTTCAATTTCTAAGTAATAGTGACCTTGACCTTTGACCTTGTGACCCCAAAATCAATAGGGGTCTTCTACCCAATATGGACAATCATCATATGAAGTTTTAACACTGTGGGCCAAATGGAACTTAAGTTATGCTCCGGAAACTGTTTTCAGTTCTAAGGTAATAGTGACCTTGACCTTTGACCTTGTGACCCCAAAATCAATAGGGGTCTTCTACCAAATATGGACAATCATCCTATGAAGTTTGAACACTGCAGGCCAAATGGAACTTAAGTTATGCTCCAAAAACTGTTTTCAGTTTTAAGGTCATAGTGACCTTGACCTTTGACCTTATGACCCAAAATCAATAGGGGTCTTCTACCCAATATGGACAATCATCCTATGAAGTTTAAATATTGTGGGCCAAATGGAACTTAAGTTATGCTCCGGAAACCAAATTGCTAACGTTTTCAGTTTTAAGGTCATAGTGACCTTGACCTTTGACCTCATGACCCCAAAATCAATAGGGGTCTTCTACCCAATATGGACAATCATCCTATGAAGTTTGAATATTGTGGGCCAAATGAAACTTCAGTTATGCTCCGGAAACCAAATTGCTAACATTTTTAGTTTTAAGGTCATAGTGACCTTGACCTTTGACCTCATGACCCCAAAATCAATAGGGGTCTTCTACCCAATATGGACAATCATCCTATGAAGTTTGAATATTGTGGGCCAAATGGAACTTCAGTTATGCTCCGGAAACCAAATTGCTAACGGACGGACGGACAGACGGACGGACGCCAGGGGGTACAACATAATATGTCCGAAATTCTTTCGGGCATATAAAAAGTATAAGCTGAGAGCAGAAGCATTTATTATAAGAAATACAGTTCAAACTAGAAATGTGTCCATAGGATACGGGTGCCCCCACACGCTACTGTTTTATCAATCTTATGACTCTAGGTCAAATATTTTTTGGACTACATGTGCCACAAGTTGAAAACTAAAAATCTTTTACTAAGTAAAGGGCAAGAACTTTACAAATACTGAATAAATGCATGAAAAAATCCCAATTTTGTTCAAAATAACACATTTTTTTCCCAATCAGTCTGGTACCGGCACCATTCCCAAAGTAGGAAAAAAAGCTGAATCATAATATTGTCTGTCCTATCCAGGTCTTTGAAGATCTATCAATTATTCCTTCATTTCACTAAAAAAGGAGAAAATCAATGGTAAATAATACAGGGTTTTAAACATGATAATCAGTCTGCTAAGAGCACTTGTCCAAATTTATGATGTCTTGTGCAAAGTAAAATCAATCTTAAAGTCCCAAAATGGTAATGGATTTGTAAATGTCTGGGAGGTAGCCGATAATTTGAAGCAGCCTCTAAGTAAATCAGTATACGAAACAACTGGTAGAGAATTATATGCTTTGGGACGTCAACTGTTATGTATTGTAAACATACAGTAGAACATTGACATCTAAGTCCTTGTAACTTTTTGCTACAGGAATTGGTATCATGTACATTGTAACTGTGTAATAATTTTGTAACTTCTCCAAAGGTTTTTTTTTTACAGGAATTAATACACTGCATTGTAAGTGATAAAAGTTGAGGTCTGTTTAAACAAAAATAAAAAAGTATTTATATATTATGTAAGAGCTATATGAATTTCATTTAATACTTCAGTGTCCAATAATTTCTCGCAAAGTCTGATGCCTATCTTTAAAGCCTTTTTGTCTACACATATTAATACATGTAGTAGGTGAATTAAGTAAAATACCAAAATATTAGCTAAAGATCTTGTGACAAACTAAGACCATAAAAAATACTTGTATTTCACTTATAAATTTACAAAATCATTGGGAAATATCCTCGGTGCATTCCTTTAACAGCTAATTAGTGGGCAGGATAAAAAGACGTCCTACGTGCTCTTAGCCTCTTAAAATCAACAAAATGTCATCTTACCGTAATATGTCATAACAGTTAGGTGTCACAGTCAAATTTCCATATCAAACTTGAAAGTACATGAAGCAGGAAAAGACACATGTTTTTACATATATGAAAAAAGTACTGATACCATCAAATCTCAATAAAGTACTTGTTTCAGTGCTTCATTTCAGTCTGGTCTTCTTCAAATATTCGGACAGGACATGAGGCAAGTATCATTTTCCTACCAGGTGTCTTGCAGCATATTCTCTTCGAATACAAGCAAATAAATGGAAATTTTGATCTTTGAATTTGCCATATAGTA